ACTTTGGTACATCTACACAACGGAGTACTATGTAGCTGTTAAAAAAGATGAAGTTATGAAATTTACATACAAGTGGTACTACATGGAAAGTATCATGCTAAGCGAAATGAGTCAGAAAGAGAGGGATAGACATAAAAAGATTGCATTCATCTGGGGGGCATAAAGTAACAAAATAGGAGATTAATACCCAAGAATAGCCGAGATCAGTACCAGGAGGATTACTCCATGGCTTAGAGGCCAGCCGGGTATTCTAGGGGAAAGGGCAGCTCAGATAGAGAAGGGAGCACCAAATAAAGGGTGTTTGGAGGATCCTCCCAGAATGGGAGATGCATGTTGAAAGTAGACTACGGACCGAACATGATTGCCACTCAAAGCCTCTAGTGCAGACCACAACACCCAAAATGAGAGCGAGAACAAAAGGGAATGCCATGCCACAGAGGTAGGGTGGGATGGGGGGGATGGGGGTGGGAGGGATACTGGGATCCATGGTGGTGGAAAATGGGCACTGATGGAGGGATGGGTATTTGATCATTGTATAATCGAAACCCAAGCACAAAAATTTGTAAGCCTACAACTGTACCTCATGGTGTTACACTGATAAAAATTAATAAAAAAAATTTACTTGGAACTAGAGAGATAGTTCAGTGGCTAGGGTGCTTGCATGCAGCTGACCAAGGACCTCCATACGGACCTCCATATGGTTCTCTACACACTACTAGGAGTAATCACTGAGTGCAGAGTCAGTAGTAAGCCCTGAACACCACTGGATGTGGCCCCCCCTCCACCAATAAAATGTTCACTTGACTATCATATTTTTGGAATAATTTCTGTCTCCCAAAATGAAGCTCTGACCCCTGGTATCTTAGAATATGAATTGTATTAAATGACAGGCCCTTCAAATGGTGTTTAAATTACAATGAGGCCATTAAGGTGGGCTTTAATCCAACATGCTTGGTTTCCTCCAAGAAGAATAAATTTGGACACCCAGAGAGACGGCAGAAATATGCCCCTAAAGTGGCGACCACGAGACAAAGAGAAGGGGGCACTATGCAAGCAAGGAAAGAGGCCTCAGAAGAAATCAACAGGCTGACACTTTGATTTTGGACTTCACACTGTGAGTAAACTAGTTCTGCCACCCATTCTAAAATATTTAATTATATTAGGCCAGACAATGTAATACACATACTTTCAATACTTCAGAGGAACTGAACCTCACCATTACCTATTCCATTAATCCTCAAATTAGTACTAGGGCAGTGATTGAGAGGAACACAATTCTACAAATTAGACCACTTTGAATTTTAATGTTTGCTTATCTATCCCAGTAACCTTGAATGAAACTATTTTTGGGGAAGGGCTAGGCCACACCTTGGTATTTAGGGGCAATTTCTGGCTCTGTGCTCTGGAGTGCTACACTGGCAATGCTCAGGGGGAGTTTCTGTGTCAAATTTCTTCGACTATAGAATGTGAACAATACTTACCTTATAGAGTTATAGTCAAATTGAAAGTTATGTTTGTAAATTTCATGGTATATTTTCTGGTACTAAATAATTGATAGAAATGTTTGTCTTCTTATCTGAGGAAACAGTAAAATGTACTATGTCAAGTGGCTTAGTTTTCTACAAACCTAGCTAGGTTAGCAAATCCTCTCCGTTAAGTGCCACATTTGCACCTATTTTCTACAGTTACTTTATTATTTTTAGTTGTAGAAAGCAGCTTTGATTAGTATCATTGTTGATTTGAATACAAGATGACAAAATTTGAAAATGAATATATATTCATTGTAAAATGATGTAGATATATACATGAATATATAATATAATCATGATATATACTATATGCATGTATATTAGTTTTATGGGTCAGTGCTTACTCCTGGCTCTGAGCTCAGGAATCACTTCTGGCAATGCTCAGGGACTGTGTTGGGTGCCAGGGATCAAATTGGGTTGGTCATGTGCAAAGTAAGTGCTCTGCCTGCTCTTCTATCTCTTCCGCCCCTTAATATATTTTAAATGTATATCTTAAAAATCTTTCTAGTGTTTCATATTTATTTATATGATCATAAAATTTTGCTTTAAAGTACAAGCTTTCAGTGTTTTTCTCTCTTAAAGTTCTTCACACATCATTTTAAAAAGTCATCAGGTCTTATTCAGAATATTTTCTGCATGAGGTATTCTAGTTTGCAGTGTAATAATTAAAACTCTGCATTATTATCACCTGACCCAATTCTAAAATTCCTTACATTATTTATAAGCTATATGTCACAGTCTGTTCTCATTCCCTTCAGCAGATGGTTTAAAGAGTATTAATTATCTTTAATTAATTAAGGATAAAATTTACCCCTGCATATATTTCATCATGTTTCTTTCACCTAGTAAGATTTTTAGGCTATAGTTGCCTATGCTCTTTCTTCATATATGTATAATGACTCAATTTCTTGCTTATTTCTATCCTTTGTCATAATTTGTGAATTGGCATCACAATATTCTCTGTTGATAATTTTTGTTCTCTATGATATTGTAAATATATAAGACTTTAACTTGTCCTTAATTAAATTAATATTTACTGGACACATATTACATATAAGCACTGTGCTTTGTAGAGAAGCAAAAGTATATAAAATTGTTCCTAGGAGTTTACAGTTTCAGAATTCTGATCATACTTTATTTTCTTTTAAGACTTCTAATACTTGTTTGGAAACACTATATATTCTGACTTGGATTTTCTTCTGTTTCCCATTTGGTTCCCCATCTGAAGGGATATGTACTCTGCCACTTCTTTCTAATACAGGTAAGCCAACTAATTCTAAGTCCTTATGCAGAATTGTTGTCAATTTGTTTTACATTTTTTTTAGTTTATCCAAATTTTAGAATAAAAACCACAATCCAGTTTGCTATATAATAGAGTTCAAGCAAAGAATGGTTTAAGGCTTTTCCTTGCAAAAAAACTTCCTATAATTTTGTTTAATCATAATATTTTCTCCACTCTCAGTGAAAGCAAACCATTTATTGCTTCAGACTTGCTTTCATGTATTTGAAAATTAAGGTATGTTTGATAGATTTTTCTCCAAAGGGAAGGGTAAAGGCATGTTTAATAGATTTCTCCAAAGGGAAAGGGAGAGTATTTAAATCCATTACATTAGATAATAATGCCTACTTCTCAAGAAGTCAGAACAATCCCTTCCCTATTTTTTATGTCAAAATAAAGAGATGGATAGACAGAGAGAGGGAGAGGGAGAGAGAGAGAGGAGAGAGAGAGGAGAGAGAGAAGAAAGAGAGAGAGAGGAGAGAGAGAGAGTTGAGAAGTAAACTTTAACAGCCATGGGTACCAGTGCCTGGAGGTGAAATTGACCTGAAAGAAAAGAAGGAAAGTGGAAAAGGAGTGAAGACAAGAGTAAAAATTGCTAAGAATCCAGTTTAAAATTTGGAACCTTAGCAGGATCTCATTTACACCAGACATGACATTTGCTTCCACCTCCACCCTTTTTTTTAACCTTTCCAAAAGAGGATGTCATTTCATAAATCTTTTATGAATAACCATTAATAATCCTACTGTCCAATTCTCTTTAAGTGCCTCTTATGTGTGAAACACTGTTGTGAGTGCTAAAAAAGATAGAAGAAATAAACAATTTCATGTCTGCCTTTGGGGGCAATAAGACAACTAGAGGAGGTCCAGAAAAAGATTCTCTGCACTCTGGCATTTCATGGTGGTGGTGGTGATGGTGTGGGATCGGGAGGGAGGAGAGGAGAGAAGGGAAGGCGAGGGAGGAGAAGTGAGAAGAAGAGAGGAGAGGGGAGAGGAGAGAGATGGGGTGAAGAGAAGAGGGAGACAGGAAGAGGAAAGGGAGAAGGAGAGGGAGAGGCAGAGGGAGGGAGAGAGAGAAGGGAGAGAGAGGGAGAGGAGGAGGGGAAGCCGAGAAACAGGGAAAAAGGAGGAAGAGGGAGAGGAGATAGGGAGAGGGAAAGACAGACACACAGAGAGTGAGAGAGAGAGAGAGAGAGAGAGAGAGAGAGAGAGAGAGAGAGAGAGAGAGAGAGAGAGAGAGAGAGAATACCTAAGAATGTTTGGGACTTCCTAATAAATGTTGTCTTGCTCAGATTAACCATCGGCTCCCTGAGCTGTCGTTCGTTTTCCAACGAAGAACTTAAGGCCCCAAATTTCCCCAATCCGGTAGCAATTTATGACTCAGAACCAAATCTTTCCATATAGATGCTATTTAAAAAATCCGTGCACTTCTCAACGTTCTTACTGTGACTCAAAAAGAAGCTGAAGAAATATTTTTTGAGACGGTTCGCTAAGAAAGAGGCATCAGAAAAAGAACTGTTGTGGAGGGGGGGAGGGGGCCATTCTGCTTTTGAAAGGGGCTCAGCGAGCCCTCAGTTGCGAGAGCATCCTAAAGCTCGGGGGGACCCTTCAGCATGACGGAGGGGCAGGGCAGTGGAAGGAGCCCACTCGTGCCGCACCTGGAGGGCGGGAAGAGACCCACCGAGTTGATAAACTGCAGCACCCCCGCGCGGGTCCCGGCGCTGCCCGGAGCTAGCCCTAAGGGGCCCGGGCGGCGACCCGGGACCTCGCGTCCCTCGGCCTCGAGGAACTGAGGCACGCCGGCGCCCCTCAACAGGTGGCGCCAACGACAGCCCCCGCAGCACGGGGCCCAGCACGCTGGCCGCTACCGGTGCCAGTCAGAGGTTCACCTGCCCCTCCAAATTCTCTCCTCCGCGCTCCCGGGCTCCTCCTCCGGCCGACCCTCACGTCTCCGCCGGGCCCCGCGACCTCGAAAGTTGGCCTCGGGCGCCGGGGATTGGCGCGCGGGCGGCTCCTGCTGCGGGCGGCGGGGGCGGGGCGGCGGGCGGCGGGGCGGGGCGTCGGGCGGCGGGGGCGGGGCGTCGGGCGGCGGGGGCGGGGCGTCGGGCGGCGGGGGCGGGGCGTCGGGCGGCGGGGGCGGGGCTTGCCTCCCCCGGCGGGAGGGCGGAGTCTGCGGTGGCGCCTTGACAGCTCCGCCAGCACCGCGGAGAGCGCCGGGCGCCGCGAGCAGCAGGACCGAGCGGCGGGAGCCGGGCGCCACCGGCAGCGTCCTGGGCTGGCAGACGGCGAGCGGCGGCTGAGGAAGGCGCCTGGGTCGGTAGTCGGTCCTCCCGGTGGACGCCGCCGTCCCGCGCGGGCTCCCTCACACCCGCGCGTGTGTGTGTGTGTGTGTGTCTGTCTACATGCGTGTGAGGCGTGTGGCAGCCCGCGCGCGCACGTCTGTGTGAGAGTGCCGGCCGCTCCGGGTGGCCGCGCGACCGCCTGAGGAGGGTGTCCGTGCGTTCGCGCGCCCGCGGGAGAGAGCCGGCTCCCGGGCGCCCGGCCCGGGGGGAACCGGGGAGCGGCGTCTCCGCGCGCCCGGCGAGCCGAGGCGGGCTTCGGGCCGCGGCCGTCGCCGCCGCCGCCTCGCGTCCCCCAGAGTCGCCGCCTGCTCTGCGGGGACGGGGGAACGGCTGGCTAGCGCGGCGGCGGCGGCTGCGGGCTGGCGGGTGGGGGGCGGGGGGCGGGGGGCGGTGCGGGAGGGGGAGAGGCGCGGGGGAGGGGGGGAGGCGGAGGGAGACGCGGCGGCAGCCGGCGTCGCCGCTCGCCCCTCCCGCGCGCTGTTGCTGTGGGTCACCTGCAGGTGCTCTGGGACCCGGGCTTTGGGGAATGGGAGACGGGCGAAGCGCTCGCCTCCCACTCTCGCCTCTTCTTCTGTGGAGAGAGAGAGAGAGAGAGAAAATGTAGCGTTGACGATCACGGGGTAAGGCTCGGAAGGTGGTGGCAGAGTGAATACCTCCCTCTCCACCTTGTTTTTATGTAAATAAAAGCTTTCCTGCTGAATCTCGAGTGGGAAAGCCCGCCCTTGACCGAGAGATAGTCTTGGTCTATGGGACTCCGGTTTGATTGTATAATAATGATGATATAATGCTAATGACGATGATGACACTGCCTTTTATTTTTACCCCAGTGCTGAGAAAGCGTAGCTACAGCTGGGCTCCTTGAAAATTTGATGCCTGAGGAAGACAGAGGAAAATACTGTTGCTTTTTGAGTTCTTTTTTTAATAAAAATTCTGTTTATTGGAATTAAAATTTGACAAAACAAAGTCTGATTCTCTTCAACGCCAGGGCATTAATAAGACAGCGTTTTGATTAATTGTTTGACGGAATACTTTTTACCCTGCTCTAATTCCATGTGTTAAGTCGTCGTTTCCTTTGAATTTTCTCAACAGTTTTTAAAATGAAGAAGTTTAATTTCCGAAAAGTTTTGGATGGCTTAACTGCCTCCTCCCCTGGCAGTGGTAGCAGCAGTGGCGGTAACAGTGGTGGCGGGGCTGGAAGTGGTTCCGTGCATCCAGGAGGGACTGCAGGGGTTCTCAGAGAGGAGATTCAGGAAACCCTTACTTCAGAGTATTTCCAAATTTGCAAGGTAAGTTTGAAATTGGCGTGAAGCCTGTATTTCTCTATTTTATGATGTGAGAAAAGGATAACATCAACAAAACACAACACTCTGGGGAGTGGAAATTGTCGAGATACCGTCATTAGAGTCTGGTGCAGAGAACTCTGGATACATCATTTTGAATTAAGATATTACAGGCGTCATCTTTGGCATCAACTTCACGAACAATGATTGTTTAAGTGGAATACAAAGGGGAACTGAGAGAAAATGAGAGAAAGTCCACTTAATGAACGAAAATTTTCATACTTTAAAAGTAGTAATTTGAAGAAGATCGTCATTATGGCTGATTCTTTCTTGTCAGAGAAACTTTTATTTTTTCATGTTCAGTACAAAATGATTAAAGCTTTTAACAGTTTTCTAGAATTAAGAGGAAAGTAGCTAGATAAACATAATCCTTTAAAAAAATTGGATAACATTGTTTTAAATTCCGAATAAAAATTACTACCAGATTCTATAAACAACCCAACAAATGCCATAGACTTAATTTTTGTAGGAAATTTTAATGCTTATGCGAATTCAAAATTAGCTTGTGTTCATAAGAAATTATACTTATGTTTAGCTTTTAATGAATAAGCAAGAATGAGAAGAGAATCAGCGAGAATAAAAAGAGAATGTACAAAACACACATTATGTTTGTATAGAAAGAGTTACATGTTTTTTGACATAAAGTGATTTTTAAGGCTTATATCTTTTGAAGATGTTGCCTAGGAATATGTTTTTAAACTTTTGTAATAAAAAACCTACTGGGTCATTGGTATATCAATATATATAATTTTATTTGTGTTTGAATATAAAGGGAGATACAGTAATTTTTTAACTATAGAAATTATTAATTTGTTGGTATTATAATAAAGATATTTTTGAAATTACTAAAATCATTTTTCAGCAAAGAATTATGTGCAGTAAGTTTCAATTATTGACTAGTCTCTATTCCAGGGACGGTCATAAATCATTAAACTAGTTATTAAAATATTAACAAACTAGTTTATATAAAATCAAGTTATCAAGTACGGTGATAAAGCAGATTTCATTCTGACTTATACTGTAAAGTTTGTAGATAACAGAATTTTGTATACAAAGTTATTTACGATTTAGTCCTCCATATAAAATGATTGATATTTTTGTCAAGTTAGAGAGGGGTTTAATAGTAGTCAGGACAAAAACGTAAAATCCTGATGGTCAGATTTGAACTCCATGGACGGATTTCTAATTTCAGACATATTGCTCTTTCATTCCAACATTCTGAAAATTGTTCATACTCTGTTTATATTTATGAATATGATGCTAATGCAGAATTTTAGTGGAGGTAAAAGTATTATTTTACAAAAAAAGACTTTTGGAATATAATGGAACTGAATTGCCAAAGATATAGAGCTGGTAGGGAAAGATTTTAAATGTAAAAATTTTAAATGTAAAATGTAAAAAATGAATATGGGTGAATGCAAGAGAAATAAAGAATATGTAGTTATCTTCCAATTTATTCAGACTCTCCTATTTCAGGCATATTCATACAAAGTGGCAGAACTTAAACACACATTACTTTGAAAATATGGCATAGTACCAAGAACACTGGCTCAGGAATCAGAAATTTTGTATTTTATTAAAGCCTTGCTATTTGCCAGCCTTTTAATTATGGAAAAACCATTTATGTGCCTGGGATCCTGATTTTCTTCTGTTATAGTGTACTAATCTTCTCTAACCTATTAGGAAATCAGAGTATACAATTAGAGGTAACATATAAAATAGAAAAGGTGAAAAGTGTATATTTACGTTGTTATTAGACTTTTAAAATCACCTCAGATTTGGTGGAATGACTATAACCAGTTAATAATAATTACATTAGGCAACACTTTTTTAAAAAATCCTGTAATCTAGATAGCTATATAACATGAATGCTAATACATAGAAATCTTACCAAAAGAGGACAGTGCCATGAAATCACTGGATAATAATGTGATTAATTTTTAGAAACTTAGTTATTTTGTTATATGGCTGTATTATAGGTTATCTGGATTGTAATGAGATATGTAAAGCTTGATTTGAGAAATTCGAAAATTAGAACTGTTACCAAAATGAGGACTTCATTTGGACTTTTTGATTAAATGTGCAAAGAACATTCTATTCCAAGTGTTAAGCATTTGGCAGCTTTACTTATACTTTTTCAACATGTCCAAAATTAAAGTATGAATCTTGACTTTACTCTCTTGAAAATCATGCTCCTATATCAAACTGGTCATCAAATACTATTTATTTCTTCAGTGTTTTTGAAATTTATTCTCTTTCTCTATCTCCATTTTTGATCATTCTGTCATTTTCTTGCTTGGTATCTTGAAATCATTCCCTAACTGGTCCTTATACCCCTTTTCAATTCATTTTGTAATAATGGTTATTTCTGAAGTATAATGGTAATGATGTCATTTCTCTGCTAAAAATTCTTTTTCCCTAGAGCGGTACTGCTCTACAAACACGGCTTATTGTGAAATGCCAGTAAATGGCATCTATTAAATTATATAAATATGACTATTTTATTGACATACATTTATTTTATAAATTTTAATACTAAATTGTGCAGTCAATAAACCATGTTTTATGTTTGGTTTTGTTATATAATAGTATCCATAAGCAGTTAGTAGGAAATTTGCAAGCCTTAAGCAAAAACATAAAGCTGTAATTTTAAAAAAATCTATAAACATTTTTTAAAAATTTGAGAGACAGTAGAAGAAATTTTGGTTCAAGGTCAGTAAAAACCAGTTTAATGGATTGTTTCATTGCAATCTCTTTTAAGTGCAGTCCGATTGCATTTGAATGCTCATGTTGTTCAGGTATTGTGAAATATATCTAATGTAATTTATAAATTGATATTTTAAGAAACAGTTTAATGAAGCAGTTGAAAATCACTTAAAATCACTGTTCCATACAATAAACTTCAAATTGCCTAACTTGACCTGTATATAATTCCTTTCACAAAGCATTCCTGTTTACTTCTTTACCCTCATTTCCTTAATTATCAAAGCACACTGCATTTTCTAAAAGCACCATATTGCCTTTCATATTCTACTCTTTTGAATAGACTATTTCTGTCAGCTCTAATATAATTAATTGGATTACTCTCCTGTTATCTTTTACCTCATAGTTAATGTACTACTTTCATAAAACCAGTTCTGACTACTGCCTTCCTCATTTTTCTGCCCCATTGTGTTTGGTTTTTCCTTTTCATTATCGCATAGCACTGGACATTTATATTATTTATATCAGTCTTAAAAATTTATTTAAAAAATTTTTTTATTGTTATCATCTTTATTATTCATCACAATAACTATCATTTCAACAAATACCTATTAAATTCTCATTAAGGGTAGTTATTATAAAACAATATATCTACCCAAAGACTAGATTAAAAATTTACTTTTAACTGAAAACCTTTATGTGCACTTTAATTTCCAAATTGCACGAGAAGTGAAATCTTTGCAAGTAAAACTTGGGATATTATTATTAAATTTTATTTACATAAAATTTTATTTATTTAACATTTATTTACATAACCATAACATTTCAAAAGTATAGATAGCTTAATGAACCTCTGTATGCATGTATAAGTTTCACTGCACACACCACTAAAGTTGTAGTGCATCACATTATCAAAATGATCCCCGCCGTAGTTTCTTCTCACCCTCACATTTCCTACCTGTCTGGTAAGTACCATATTTTTCTCTTTTTATTTTTGGCAATGAGGCTCCCAAGCAGTTCTCAGGAAGCCTTATGGCCGCTCCTACTGGGTCAGATGGCTCAGTGTAAGAGAATGAGGATGTGGTGGAGCTTATCGGGCCCAATAATGCTGGTGTCCACTAAGGCTAGCTTGGGGTATTTGGTGGGGGACATGTGGTAACAGGTAATTAACTCAGGCCCTGCATGGTGACAATGTTTCCTTGAGCCCCAAGCTATTTCCCTGGACCTTTGATCTTTTATGAAAGTTCTTGGTGAACTTCTTTTCCATAAGCCATCCTAAATAATGTTTAGTTTTAGAATTAGATGTCTGATGACTTAAAACAATGTCAAGATTTCCTAGATGTATTTATCACTTAAAAGGATTTGACACACATGCATGAGTATGTGTGTCCACATAATCTAGATAAATATATACATATATATTTGCTGTATATACAGTATAGATTATATACTTTATTGTATACATATGCGAACATACATCATTCATGCCTGTGGTTAACTGGTACATCCTATTTATGGTAGGAATAAGAGACTATGGATATTTTATCTAGAGAGTTTATTTGTTTCCTGAATATTATGAACTGGGATTTGGCATATCAAATATGCCATGGGGAGCTTTCCAGACTCTGCCGAGTGGGCAGGATACACTTGGTAGCCTGTTGGGTTCTCCAAGAGTGAGAACTAGACAATAAGAGGTGGCACTTGCTAAAATTTCAGGGCTAGGACGAATGGAGACATTACTGGTGCCTGTTCGAGGAAATCGATAAACAACAGGATGACAGTGATACCGTGATATTATGAACTATTACTATCATTTTGTGTTTTACAAAGAAAATGGAAAGGCATTGTTAATCAAGTTTAATAAATTAAAATTAGAGAACTTTGTCAGGTATCCTATTAACCTTCATAACAGTTTTATAAGTAATATCCTTAGGTTTCTAAATTGGCAAAAGACAAAACTAAGTTTAATAAGCTGCTCATTGATTCTCAAATAATTTTTCTTATTTTATCTCTCTTCTTAGAAGAGACAAAATTATAAATTTCTCAAGAAGTATACTTTGAGTAGATAAGGAATATTTTGTCAGAACACACCCCAAGTTCTGCTCAAGACTTTTTAATTCAACCACATTATTCTATTTCCTGACTTCATACTTTTTAACCTGTTTTCTTGCTTTCACTCAGTCCATGATAGTCTCATCTTACAATACAAAGATGAACGCTTTTAATGTTAAATCATATTTCAT